TGTCACTACTGTGAAATATTCCATAAAAACGCACATGCTGCAATGCATTTTAAAGAATTATAGTTGTATGGAAATAGAAATAAAACAAGAGGCACATGGGCCTAAACGATCACCTGAGTCCTATAGTATTTATTTTTGTTGTTGAAATATGTACCAATTTGAGTACAAAATAGTTAAGTATAACGTTACCGAGTTTCAGTTAAATCGGCCTATTAGAACTTGTTTTTAAATTTGAAATAGTTTTGTCAAAATGTCGGCCGTGTCGGCCATATTGGATTTCTGATCAACCCGATATATAACAACACTTTGTCAGGACCATGAGTCGATCATTCCTACAAAGTTTCAGTTAAATTGGCCCAGCAGAACTTGACTTTAAGTTTGAAATAGTTTTTCAAAATGGCGGCCGTGTCAGCCATAATGGATTTCTGATCGACCCGAAAAATAACAACACTTTGTCAGGACCATGAGTCGATCATTCCTACAAAGTTTCAGTTAAATTGGCCCAGCAGAACTTGACTTTAAGTTTGAAATAGTTTTTCAAAATGGCGGCTGCAGCGGCCATATTGGATTTCTGAACGACCCGAAAAATACCGACACTTTGTCAGGACCATGAGTCAATCATTCCAACCAGGTTTAAGTTCAATCGGCCCAGCAGAACTTGACTTTAAGTTTGAAATAGTTTTTCAAAATGGCGGCTGCGGTGGCCATTTTGGATTTCTGAACGACCCGAAAAATGCCGACACTTTGCCACGACCATGAGTCAATCATTCCAACCAGGTTTAAGTTCAATCGGCCCAGCAGAACTTGCCTTTAAGTTTGAAATAGTTTTTCAAAATGGCGGCCGTGGCGGCCATATTTGATTTCTGATTGACCTGAAAAATAACAACACTTTGTCAGGACAATAAGTAGATCATTCCTACCAACTTTCAGTTCAATTAGCCCAGCAGAACTTGACTTTAAGTTTGAAATGTAAAATGTTATCAAAACTGAAGGGGTCGAACTCAGGACCTTTACATTATAAAACATCTGCTTTATCAATGTCTCCCAATGCAACATACCCGGTCTCACATGCACGCTTACACAACACACATGGAGGCACATCCTAAATTAAAATTAGCTATAAATAGGACGTTAAACAAAATGATTGCATACACAGCACGTCCTTAAATGACCTCAGATGTTAATAGGATGTTAAACAAAACAAGAGGCCCAATGGGCCTGCATCGCTCACCTGGTATAAAACTCACACTTGTAACCTGAAAAGTGATCTAAAATAAAGCTACAGGCAAAATATCAGTATTTATGATTAAAATTCATTCAAAAGACCGTTATTTTTTTTAACATTTCACCCCTGTGATTGAAAGTCGAACAAAGTCATTATGTTGAACACATTGTATAGCCTTTCATCTCAGGATGCAACTTGCAAAGTATAAACATCCTGGGACCCATGGTTATTCAGAAGAGGTTGTTTAAAGATTTTAAACAAATTTGACCCCTGTGACCTTGAATATAAGTAAAAGTCATTCACTTTAACAAACA